CCCGCTCAGCGCCGGCCCTTTGTCTCTCCTGCCCGCAGGGTCGCCTCTCAGGCCGCCCCCCGGGCCCCGCGTCCCCTCCCCCGCTGGCGGGGCCCGGACTAAAGATGGTGCAGAAGAGAACAGCCGAACTTCAGGGCTTCCACCGTTCGTTCAAGGTGAGGGGTCCCGTCCGGGGGGTCCCACTGCAGGCGCGGGTGCGACGGAGGGGCGAAGCTCACCCGGGGGGCCGGTGCAGGGCCTGGCAGGGCTTCTTGCACTGGACTTCGGCGCTGGAGGCAGCGGGGTCAGCAGGCCGCAGCCCTGTCCCCTGCCGCCCAGGGGCTCTCCCTGCCAGGACTCCCATCCCCACGCCGCAGGCTTGTGGCTCCGTGTCCCTTGCAGTACCGCTCGGCCACAGTTGGGTCTTCTGTTGTGTGTGTGGCCCTGAGCAAATGTAGCGTTCCTGCAGCTTCCAGCCCTGCCTGGTGCTGCAGCCCCGGCTCCCGGGCTCTAGCTGCCCGCTAACTCTCCCTTCACGAGCTGCCCCAGGCTCCCGTGATCCCTCAGCCCGGCCTGTCTCTTACTTCTGTGTGTGGTCTCAGGTGAACCCCACGTTTGTCCCCTGAGATGCGTGTGCTTGTTGCGGGCTACAGCCTTGTCCCTAGCTGCTCTTCTAGGACCCACTGCCTGGCATGTGACTGGGCTCCGTGCCCCTTGCAAGCAGCCCGGTCTCAGCCCCGTGCCCCCCACCCCACTTTCTGTGTGTGATCCACTCGCTCTGGCTCTGGCTGGGAGGGCGTCAGCTGCTCTTATCTATTTCGTGGACTCCTCCAGGTTGGCTTGTGATCGGGGGCTCCATGTCCCTTGCAATCTCTCAGCCTGGTCTCTGCCTCCTCCTGTGTCTAGTCCCAGGGGAACCCTGTGTCTGTCCCCTGCAGTCTCCAAGCTGGCTGCAATCTGGTGGGGAAACCCTGGGGCCCATGGTGTGTTTTGCCCGACTGCACACTCCCCCCCCTACACACACACACACACACTGGTAGTGGCCTGTGGACGGCCTTCCCTCAAGACACCCCAAAGTGTTACTTCCTGTCAGAACAGGAAGTTTCTACAGTGTTGTTAATGGTGGCTGGCTGAATCTTCATCTCAGATGAGTGAATCTGGGGGTGACCAAGGTGGGCAGGTGCTGGGCAGAGCCCCCGCGGGGCCTGGCCTAAGGGACACAGTGATGTCATCCTGCCCACCACACCCGGAAGGCTGGATTATGTAATGGCTTCCTCGGGCAGGGACCTGTTGCCCTGTGGAGAAGGCAGCGGTGTGTACATGCCCGCACTCCTGTGGGAGGAGCATGCAGACGGGGAAGAATTCCCAGGCCTGTCTGGCCGGTGCCCCTGGCCAGCGGCCACACCCCTGCCCAATGCCTGCCCTCCGTGGTCAGCTGCTGCGGGCCTGAGGAGGAGAGGTGGATCTGAGAATGTCACCCACGGTGCCTCTTGGCCCTCCTGGGGCTTTGTCTGAGCCTAGATGGGGTCAGCACATGGGGCCAACAAGGCCGCCAAAGCAAACCCCAGCTTTCTGGATGGTTCTAGCCACCTCCTGCCAGGCCTGCTGACTCAAGGCCCTTGGCCAGACCCAGGGGAGGCTGGCTGGACCGGGCTGGACTGCCCACAGCACTGAGGGCTGCAGGCTGCTCTCTGCATGGCCGCTGTGCGGCTCTGCTCAGAGCTGCGACTTTGGGGAGGCCTGGCTGCTAGGTGGTCCTTCAGGAGCCAGCGACTGGTCCTCAAGTGTCCTCGGTCTGCAGCTGGCCAGAGAGGCACACCTGCCGGTCCTCCGGGTTGACTTGTCTGTCTTCTGTTGTTTTCCTTTCTGGGGTTTAAGAGGCCCCGGGATGGAGCCTGGGGCCTGATGCTTGCCAGACAAGTGTCCTACAAACTAGACTACAGCCCCAGCCCTGATTTCCTCTCCTTCGAGTACAAATGGGAGGCTCTAAGGTAGCCTCTGGGGTCTCCCCGAGGGAGTGTGCCTTAGCCAGCTGGTCCTCCCCGTGCTGGGTTCTGGTACTTCCCAGTCTTTTCGGTGGAGGGCTGGGACAAGTGAGTGGAGACAGTGACCAGATAACGTCAGAGGCTCAGACTGGGCCCCTTTCACCCTTGTAAGGTCCCCAGAGCTGGGGACAGCCGCCTCCTCACCATGACAGCCTGCCCAGAGGAAGGTCACTAGGCTGAGGTCATGCAGCAGGTCCCCTCCCTCAGCTGCCGCCAGCCCCCACCCCGTGTGGTGCAGGTGGCTGCCGTGGGTCTTTACCAGAGCGCCGTGTGTGCCCTCTTCCCCGTGGCCTGCTAGGGTCCCCTCTTCTGCCAGGCTCCTGGTGACTGCCGGGGCGGGTCAGCTCGCAAGGCTTCTACATTGCTGTCCGTCTGCCTCTCATCTCCGGGTGTCTGTCTGTCTGTCAGTCCTTCCTGCTGAGGACATCCGGAGACGGGCAGGGACTTAGCCCAGGCTCCCCACACCCATTCACGTCTGTGCCTTGTTCTCTGAGGGGGGCGTTCACTCTGAAACTGGGGTTCGCCTCAGTGTCTCGGCCCGCAGACCACCCCGCAGGTGGCAGCAGCAGCAGCGTGAAGAAGCATTTCCCTGAAGCACGCTTCTGTTCAGACCCGGACTCTGCATGGCCTGCAGCTCTCACCCTCTCTGGTCAATCTCAAGACCTTCCACCCAGCTAGCAGCTGGGTCCTCTGGTGTCCTCTTTGAACCCAGCCACACTAAGAAGGCTTCTTCGACATTGCAGGCTGTGGACTGGGCAGAGCCCGGACACTCACACCAGCGGGCACCTTGCCCGTGGGCCCGTCACTGTGTATGAAATTGGGGACCCATGGGGTTGGTAGTCCTCAGGACGTAGACGGCTTTGGATGTCTGTAGAAAACTCAGAGGGTGCCATGGCACACACAAGTGCCTCCACCTGTGACCTCCAGAGCCCCCCAGAAGTCAGCGTCCACATCATGGGAGGGAGAGCACACAGCATAGGGAACAGAGGCACCGGTGACCCGAGCCACAAGGAAACTGAGGCCTAAAAGCCAAAGGTGTAGCCCTGAGAAAACCTGGGAGGCCGTGGGAAAACAGGCTGTCAGTCCCGCCCAGGGCTCCCCTGCTCCTGCCCCTACCTTTGATCCCACGCCTGTCCCTGCTGAGGTCAGCCCTCAGTCAGCTGGCTGGACAGGCGTCCCCATTCTACCCATGAGCAGACAGGGCAGGCCATGGGGCTTAGACTTCCTGTCACTCAGCCCCAGGCTGGGAGAGGAAGGTCACGTTCCCCAACAGGCAGCAGGGTCCCTCGGTGTGGTGGACATGGGCCTGGGCCATTCTCTGGCCCAGCCTCCTACCCCATAGTAACAGGAGCAGGTGACACCCACGTGGCCCAGTGTCTCCTGGGAAAACCCCTGAGTTGAGATCCTGTGGACCCCAAGGGATTCTGCCTCACAGTTCTCTGCCACTGAGACCCCGGGACACTTGTCATGTGAGAGCCCATGTGCTGAGTAAGGACAGGGAATTAGCCGCAGAAGGTGGCCCACCCTGAACGCTCACTGGGTGAGGGCTCAGCACTGTGATGGAGTGATGACTGGGGCGTCCCGGGAGAGCCGCCCTGAACATGCTCCCCCCCCACAGGGGCAGAATCCTTTTGAGCTGGCCTTCTCCTTGGACCCTGCCCAGCACGGGGACGCTGACTTCAGCCCACAGTGTGAGGTCCGGCCTGGTGAGTACCACGGAGGGGGCGGGAGTGGGGGGCTCTGTGGGCGGCAGGCCCCACCAGGCCACACACGGTCTGTCCGTCCTCTGCAGACATGCCCTCCAGCCAGCCCATCGACATCCCGGATGCCAAGAAGAGGAGCCGGAAAAAGAAGCGCTGTCGGGCGACTGACAGCTTCTCGGGCAGGTTCGAAGGTGAGTGAGTGGGCAGTGGGCGCAGGGCCTGCCAGGGGGGCGCAGGGCTGCCGCCCTCACTTGTCCGTTTGCATCCCAGATGTCTACCAGCTGCGGGAGGATGTGCTGGGGGAAGGGGCCCATGCCCGAGTGCAGACCTGTGTCAATCTGATCACCAACCAGGAGTATGCTGTCAAGGTAAGCCGGGGCCTGCCCCAGGGGCCAGTGGCGTTTAAACCCCCAGATCACAGCCACGGAAAACCAGTATCTAAAAATGGCCACCCTAGAAATCCAGGTCAACCCCAGTCACACAGGCACGGTGACAGCTGGCCTTTGCTCACTCCGTGTTCCAAAGGCAGCGAGCCCTAGTGTGCCCACTGAGAAGGGAAACTTGGGTCAGGCCGGCTGGCCCGCAGGAGGACTGTGCACTGAGAAGCTGTGCTGCAGCCCTGGAGTGGTGAGGGGTAGTATCCTGGCAGTGAGACCCTGCCTCCTCCTGCTGAGTGAGGGGGTCAGGGCACCAGCCTGGGGACAGCTGGGGTCCTGGAGCCCTCTTCTCCAAGACCAAAGATTCTGTAGTGCCTCTAGGTCTTCCATGACTGGGTGCAGAGGTGCTGACTTCCTCAAGTTTGGGTCCCACTGCTGGCCTAAGCCAGACGAGGCCCTTGGGGCCAGTTGCCCAGTCTGGACTAGAGTGGAGGAGGCTGGACTTGATGCGGCACTGGCTGGGCTGGCAGCCAGGTGACTTGTTGCCTTGTTGCATGGGTCACGTGGGAGCTTCTGGGGCAGGGGTGGCAGCCACCTCGTGAAGGGGCTCCTGTAGGCCCAGCCTCAGGCAATCCTGTGAGGCCACTGGGTCAGGGTGGAGTCTGCTGCTTCCTCCCTCCTTGCCTGAACTCCCTGAGTGATGGGGGGCCCTGCCTGTGCTGACACCACCGCAGTCAGTCTGTCTTCTAGCAAGTTCTGGGCCCTCAGGCCAACCGTGTTCTCCAGCGCTGAGGAGCCGGCTCTGGCCGCCGAGTGTAGACAGGGTCCAGGTGGGCCCGGCGACTCCTCAGCCGCGTCTCCCTGCATTGCAGATCATCGAGAAGCAGCTGGACCACATCCGCAGCAGGGTGTTCCGGGAGGTGGAGATGCTTTACCAGTGCCAGGGGCACAGGTAAGGTGGCCTGCCCGGGCCGTCTCCAGAGCCCAGCGCCTCAGCAGGGCATGGGCTGGGCGCAGCCGGAAAAACAGGCTGCTCTCCGTGGAGCACGTGGCACCATGAGGGCGTCGCCTCCCAGGCTGGGCGGCGGGTGCTGAGGGCCTCGGTTTCTTTTCTGCCTCTTCCTCCCAACTCAGGAATGTCCTAGAGCTGATCGAGTTCTTTGAGGAAGAGGACCGCTTCTACCTGGTGTTTGAGAAGATGCGAGGAGGTGGGTGCTGGTGGAGGAGGGTGCTGGAGGAGGAGGAGGGTGCTG